TGAGAATAAGCTTGATCTAGATAATTCAAATATCACCATTAGAAACGAATCATTTATATTATTTAAATTTAGATACCTTGTTAGGACTATCAATACTTTGGTAGAAGGGCCTCAATAATGGATTCCATTTTACAGGGGCACGTGGGTTGTTGAGTGCAAGCTTGTCTTCTTATCTAGTGAGAACTACTGGAGTAGCTGCACATTCGTGGAAGACGTTTTACTTGCAAGAACCCATAAAGAAGTGTGATTCAATGATATAAACAAAACAGAACATCAGGTAGCTATGCAAATAATGAAAAGATTAACAATAACAATCACTTCATTAATAGATCAACAACTAAACATACTAAAAGTAGATTTGCGTATTCCGCACTGTGAAGAATTCTTAAACCTTAATTAACCATGATGTTATAGTTGTATCTGTTCGGCGATTAAAAAGATCGTCCGACGATAATAACACGTTTTCACATTACAAGGTGGCCATAGGAACACACAATGAACGTAGTTTCATTCTATATAATTGTCGGGATTGTACTAAACACTCGCTTTTCTGAACTCACTCGCTTTAGTCATTCAGTTCACAGGCTGTGACATAGTGTATTTACTAGTTAATAACTAGTACTAGTTATTAACATAATACTGACAACATGCTGTCAAAAAACAAAACGCAATCCTGATACACTGGCTGGTAACTTAACGCGCTGAAAGACCTGAGAAAATATGATTTGTGAAATTATGAATAATGGAGTCGTGTAAACAGCGTACACTGCGTCTTGCCATAAAGAATCAGCCCGGTTGGTTCTTATCACAGCGATATCAGTTCATTTTTCAAGTACTTGGGTCTATATATTTTACATCATCAATTAACTTATCTGTATTTGTCTGTGTGTAATCAACAAGGCTGTGTCTTCTTATAGTTGCTACACATGCAACTTTTTTCTAATTGTTTGCAAGATTGTAATTATTATAAATAAGTATATGACTGAACTGAAGTACATAGACACAGATATTATGTGTTTATTTGAAATATGTGAATACCCAAAATACTTAGTTAACCTACTACAGATAAATTCTTGTGTATTTGTATACATTGTATTATTTTATATGAACATTAGATCTCTTGAATATACAAGACATGGATACCATAGTAGAATGTATTAGTGGAAGCTTATTTCCTATATCACTGTCCATTAATTTAAGTATACAAGCAACTTTTTTACGAAATCAAATGCATAAAACGATATTTTTTAGGTTTTACAGGCGATTACGTACTAGCATAGTCATTTTGTCTGATTGAAAATTCTTTGTTATTATCTTTGAATTATGTAACGACTCATGCCAATTATGCTGACATTCGTTATTGCGCAGGTTATTCAAATAAAGAAGTTATTCATGTAATACACTACTTTGTATTAATGATCAGATACAAACATGCTATCTAGACATATGAGTATATGAAGTGAAAAAATAATGTTGCTACATTTGGCAATGCTAATCTATAAATTGTGATTTCTGTTTTTTGAAAAAAATAAATAAACCCGTTTTAATATTGAATCCAATACTTAACATATTAGATGACCCGATACATTAAAAGAAAATATCAAGACACACCCTATGATTAATAACCAGAAGAACAATGTTAAACAAACTCGATATTATCAATTTATCTACCTATGTATGCAGATGTAGACATTATTTGGGAGACAGCTATGTTTTTTAACTTTATTCTGTTTGCTCTACCAACATTGGTGCTACCTCTTCGTCTTCACTGTCGTGTTCACGTTTACACTTATTGCAATTACACTTGCACTTCATACCAATAAACGTGGGACATACTGGCATGTATTTCGTTATGTGTGCCCATTTGTGAATCCAATTATTTCCAAAGGGGAACTCATAACTTTTCAGGACTTCTTCTTTGACGGCTTGAACCCTTTCCTCATTTTCACCATCTGTCTCAACATATAGCTTCCTCCACTCTATAATGCCACGCTCGGCTTCGGTGCCTGGAGAGCAAGTAAAGAAGGGACGTATGGTAGTCACAATTTGTATAATGTGCATAAGCCAGTATTAACGGGTATTGAATAATGTGACTAATTGGTAATATTACAAAAAATATAAAAACAAAATTGTCAAGCTGATAAGATTGAGTCGAAAAACACACATATGCATGTAATGTCTGAGTACTGTTCTCAAAGTTTTGCCACGTATGTTTCTAAGGCATAATAAAAGGCGTCCTCTCTCGACTTACCGGGGATAGTATTGTCGAATAAGAATCCAATCATTCCGCCAATAAACATACCAGTACTTAACAGTACTGTTATAATCTGATCGAGTTCACGAACACCTAAATCAGATTGTAAGAGATAGCATTGAGTTATGTAATGAATGATTACATTTATGGATTTATCACATGACAATCGACGTAAAATACTGTTGTTCAGCCATTGTCCAATCAACATGTCCAAAAATTGAAGATTATACCCCACAGCTCTTTGAGATTGCGACGTATTTAGCAATATATCTGGTTAGGTTATTTATTTGTTATTTAACAATAATGGAAAATGTTTAATTTATAAGGTATATTGCGGAAATATTAACAAACGTAAAAGTGAAACTAACCTACAATTAACAACATACCCAAGTTAATAGTCGTCAAAGAGAATTTACAAATCCAAGACAACAAAACAAATGATAGACAAACAATTACCTAGTACAATACAATCTCACAAATAACTGACAATCCATTCACAAAAGCAGAACAAGACAACTGACAAGTAAAAACATTAGATAGCCAAATCATTGAGACATATATAGACATGGTATACATGAAGTGGCGTCCGTTATTTTGTAAAGAGTGAATACATATGTAATATGTACATACGTATGTAACACATGTGAGTCATAATCAGATTGTTTCTGGGGGTATATACCTGTGTCTATTATTCCCTCGTTATTTTTCATCCAAGTCGGAACGAGTATACCCATGAAGAAAGAGAATCCTATGATGAATAAATTCCGCGATGAATTCAAATCAACGAATTGTAGATTGGAAATTCCAACAGCTGTGATAATGCCTTTGAATAAAAACAAACAGTGATAAAAACATGTGGTTGATTTAGGTTTGATGGACACACTTACAGTCGTAGCTGCGCTTTTGTATCGAATATTCGAGACATAGCAAGCAATTGTGTGCAAAGTATCATCCGACATTCATTGTTAGTTAAATAAGTTACATTCTAGTGATAACATGTTAGTAGATACCACCTACCAAATACAATGCAGAACATGCCACCCAGTATGGGATCCGGGATTGTTGCAAAAAACGCCCCAAATTTACCAAACATTCCTAAAAGCATCATTATTACAGCGCCCGCAATTATTACAATACGACTTCCAACCTGAAATAAACACATAAATCTAGGATAAGCAGGTTATTCAAAATTGGTGTCGTAATTTTTGTAACTATTGAAAATATTGAACATGAAAACACAATAGGTAATTTATTTAACTATGATATTTGCTAAACAGAATAAAGGTTGATGGCCAAATTTCCATAGAAACAATGACATATGATAACCCCATAACTTAAAACTTCACATTGGCGGCCATTTTGAATTAGAAATTGATGAAATAATCGATTAAAATAAATTGAATTAAATTACATTACAGCGCAAACTGAATCAACTTGACAGTGGGATGTGAAGGTAAAGTTATAAAAAAATATTATCATTGTTGTTCACAGTAGAGGTGTTTTGCCAATCAACGACAAACTGTAAGTTTGATGGTAACAAAATTATAACATTATTATCATATAATTATCTTGGTCTGTTAACATCTTTTTATTTTGGTCTTCCGCTAAATAAAATATTGTAGTTGTGTCAGTCATTTGGTACTGTAGTAAAACATGGGCTTATGAATCATGTAATTTTTTTAATTGGTGTAAATAGTAGTGCCAACACTAGTACTTGGTGAACGTGGGCGATTACCACTGGGCATATAGTTTAACTGATGTATATCATACAAGTCTTTTAAATAGAAAATAGTAGATAGCTTCATGCGTGCTATGCTATGTTGAAAAGGAACTACTGGAAAGAACTAACGTTTGTGACGTAACATTTTTGGGTCATATTTACAAAATGATTAAGAGACTGTTTTCATCAAGAATGGACTTTAGTACTTGTCCTAGACTCTGACATATGTCTCTTCTTGAAACAGACTGATTGGCACTTTATTTATTTATTTATTTATTTATTTATTTATTTATTTATTTATTTATTTATTTATTTTTTTTTTTTTTTATTTTTTTATTTTTATTTTTTATTTTTTTTTTTATTTTTTTTTTCTATATTTCAAACAATATCTTCATTCACAGTAATTAGAGTGAATGTACAAGTCCAAGAATTTTAAGACGTCAACGGCGATAGGTGTACATCACATAGTCTACGAGTTATAATCTGAATTAACAGCAATCACGTCGTTCAGCCCACTTATATAATTATCTACACTCATCGCGGGAATACATACTTGTTTGTAAAAAATATTATTTATTTTATTGTACCTTAGTTATAGCAATAGTTCCTGTGTTTTCAATATATGTTGACGTGCCATTTCCCGTTCCCCAAACACCTGCCAGTATGCAACCGATACCTTGAACAGCGATTCCACGGTTAATGGCATGCATAGGAGGATTGGGCGCTCCAGATAACCTAGCTGATGCATAGTAATCGCCGACCGATGTGACAATAACTACGAGCACAGCAGCAAACATTCCAAACACACCAGCCAAGCTGACAGTTGGTAACCCCCATTGACCTAAAAATAATATATGTTAAATTTTATTTCGACAAATTTATTATTTGTCAATA